ACCATATTATGTCACAATATTCAAGAAGATTGCGAAATATCGCAGAATGTAGAACTTCTGTACAGCTGATTATGCACGAGCTAAGGCAATGATTACGGTTCGGGGTGATACGAACGACTCCCTTTTCTGGGGGATAGGCATGATAATACTCGATAGCAGTTTGAGATCTAGAATATAGACTTTTCTGATTTTCTACCGATATAGGACCACGCTTCTGCTAGTTGTCCCGTTTGAGTGAAAATACCAGTATAATTGTGAAATATAAGAACCTTGGGAATGTTAGATAGTGAGAAGAAAGTGTACTCTCCCTACTATTACTATTACTATACCACTCTTTGGAATTGCGATATCGCGAATATATCTTCAAGCCCATTGGATTTGCTTTTTCATAAGCTTCTTCTAATAATTTAGCAGATTAGCAGTAGGAATCCCAGGATTTTTGTGCGGGGGGGGGGGCAATTGTTTTAAAATGGTGGCGTCAGCCACGCACTCCGAAAACTTTGTGGGGTGCCTCTCAAACTTTTTGCTGGTCCAAACCGTTAAAATCTAGAAGAAGGGGACTTGGCGGTAGCGACGCCCCGGAAGTTTTTTTCACAAAGCTAATTTGGAATTTTTTAGTTTCAAAAATTATTACAATTATTCACAAGAATAAACAAGCAGTCTGCATTTTTTATAGCCAATGTAAGTAAATTTCAACCCCTCACCTACGTCTCCGTCCCTCTCGTTCCGCCATTGCAGATTACATGGAGCTAGGAAGCTAAATAGAAGTCCTTTGCTGCTCAAAATTTTTTCAAAATTCAAGTTCATCTGTTGTTTCTTTTCGTTTTTTTCTGAAAAGCATGAGTTTAGCTAATTCTATCGTTTTCAGGGTTGATAGGGTGATAAGGTTATATCTAGTTTTTGGTTATAGGGTTATGTCTTTGCGGAAGATAATGCGTCTGAAAATCTTATGCACAAAAAATTTGTAACCATGAAGATTTCCAAATTTCTTAAGTGCATTCTTTTGATCCTTCAATTAGAAAAATTGCTTCTGTATCATGAAATCAGTTTACTTTATCGATTTTTAGCGTAGATGTGGAGAGATAAATGCAAGCTTTTTGACTTCTTTTCTACGAAGTTTTCTCTGAAACTTCCTAAACCTTCTACATCTTTCGAGTGTGGTTTTTCCATTAGAATTCCACTCACAATCTCTGGCAAACTCCTTCAAGGCACAAAACCAGCAATCAACCGCACAACCACTAGTGAACGTAAGCATCTGCTGAACATGTATTAGGTATCCGAAAGAGCCTGTTTTTCTGTTTGTTCAGCCGTTTCCCAGCAGCAGCAGTGTATTTTTTCCTGGTATTCCCATGTAAGTACATTGCATATTACCTGCCTACCAACGCTATGAGATGGGAAATGCACTTTCAATTCAACAAAATGTTTTTTTTTGTGAGCAGGATACTTTTCGTTAAAAGCGACACGTGCTGCCTTTTCGTGTTATTTTTGCGACTTTTTCGGTGTTTGGAAATAAAATTTGTGTCTGAATCTTACTTTTTCCTTCTTCGACATGCTTGATTGAAAACGTTAGCAAATTCTTGGATAATGAACTGTAAGTCAGTGTAAATCTGATTTCTTGAAAAATTCATTTTCAGTATAGTTTCAGGCGGTTGTTTTCAAGTAAAATCCTCACTGTCGTGCTCTGAACAGTTCCTCTAAATTTTATTGGATTGTAATATAAGTTTTGTTACACTTGAAGGAAAAAAAACCTCCACAGCTTCCTCCAAAGGTTTTTTCTCATCATCCAATATACACATGCCACACATGGGAAACTCAATTTTTGAATCCTTTGAAATTCTTCTGAATTATTTCTGGCAAATTTCCAACTTGCCTCACTGAACGGCCTAGACTTCCAGACTTCCTTCATAATAGTACTAACGTCCCTAAGAATCCAACAAAAATTGTGAGAGCATAAAAATAGAAATGAGAGAATTATTGAAGGCAAAAGAAAAAAAATGGAGATTTGAGAGCCGTCACGAAATTGCCTTTATATTTACTGTAACCCATACCTGTAGTCCATTGCTCATATGTGCCAAACATTAAACTTTTTCAAAATTCCTAGAGTTTTTCAGGAGTTAATGAAAAAAGTACTCAAAACTTAAGTTACGACCTAATACATACATACCATTTTTTTTTTGAAAAATGGTTCCTCTTGAAGCAATCAGTTTATGTGCCATTTTAAACGTGAATCAGGTCAAGAATATTCTTGATGTCGCTTAGTGAAGCTTTACATCCGTTAGCAATCTTTCTTTGCCTTTTTTAGTCTAAAAATGAGAAAAAATGTCTTTGCTCGAGCACTTATAACTTTCAACCACATCAACATGCTACTAGATGTTTGGCCACTAAAAAACGAGTAACCGCCCCTCTTTGTATGTTTTTCTTCGGGAATTGCCTTGCACTGTACACAACTACTGCGTAATTCCAAGACTGAGTGGAGTTTGAATACGTCGATCGAATATTATCTTCAAAGAGAATTGAACGATGCTCTCCATTATTTCTTCAACGGATCAACGTTAGTGATGCTTGATATTTTCATTTTTTATAATCATTTCATATCAAAAGAGAAGCGACGCCTAACATGGTTTTTTTGCACATTTTGAGCTGTCATCTTTTTCCAAACTGTGATATGGGTAGAATAATTGTCTAAAAATAAAACCAATAATTCATGATGGAAGAAGTTGATTTTGTTCTAAATCGAAAAAGCAAGAAAACACAAGTGTTCCACATCAACCTCGATGTTCTGATTCACAGCGGGAGTTCTGTTCCCCACGCTATTCGGCCTTGTTATGGGATAATCTATGAGTCTTGCTGTTCTACTTTTCCATTTCGTGTAAAATTCTCCTCTTGAGCGGTATGGTGTAGTTCTGAAATTTTATTAATTCATGGAATGTTTATTGTTTTCGTTCGTTTAGTGATTATGAAGTGCGTATTGTAAAGTGACATTTTCTAAATGGAGCTCTCAAATTGCATCCGAATATATTTCTGATAAACATAGCTATAAACAAATGTCCTCGACTTTTCAACCCTAAATCTTATTTTTTCATTCTATCTTATTTTTTGTGTCATTTGTATAAATTCAAGAAGATAATGGAGTATTTTTTCCTTCTGGCGCCCCACTTATCTTACCCTAATCTTACCTCTAATTCCAATCGTTATGACTTTATCAATCAATCACCATAATATTAATCCACTTGAGCCTTTCTACTAGCGACAGTAACATTCCTAGATTTCTAACAAGGGAAGGATACTTGGTCGCTTGACGATTATGACCTCATTCTGGAGGAGTTATAAAAGCTTTTTGGTGCAGTGGATAGTGGCTTGGACTGCGGAGCTGGACGTCGTGGGTTCGATTCCCCTGGGATGCCACCAGTTTTGCATTTTTGCAAATTTTAGCAGGCAAGCTGCAGAACCTGTCGACATCAAAAAAAGTTGATTTTCACAATATGAAGCAATATATTTGCATTTATTGGCACTGAACCACCGTCTAACCTAAAAGCACTCGCTTTTAGCCTTTTTCATTGAATACTTTACTCATTTTCACATTGAAAAATTCCGAATTCATACTTAACATAGAGGGGAGCAACCCGTTAAAAATGGCGTCTTTATCGATTTCTTGATGCACAATATGTTAATCAACATTGTTCTGTCCACAACTGGTCATCTCTTACTGAGTGTTTTTAGGTTAGATCGTGGTTCAGTGCCAATAAATGTACATATATTGCTTCATATTGTGAAAATCAACTTTTTTTGATGTCGACAGGTTCTGCAGCTTGCCTGCTAAAATTTACAAAAATGCAAAACGGGTGGCATCCCAGTGGAATAGAACTCATGACGTCCAGCTCCGCAACCCAAGCCATTATCCACTGCACCAAAAATCCTTTATAACTCCTCCAGAATGACGTCATAGCAGATATGGAATGCGGTTCAAAGATCACCGTCTGGGGACGGTATGCGCGGTATACATCGCTTACCCAATCGTCACTGCGATCAAGTATCCTTCCCTTGTAAGATCCGAATGAGCTCAATGAGCCGCACAATAAATTTGCTACTTACCACACCTATCTCAAAAAACTTTGAAGTAAGTGCGTCTTAATTGGCACGGCCATCAAAACCTCATTACATAAATAGAATTGTGCTTTCTGTTTTTGTTTTGAATACAAATGGTGGTGCCACACCACAATCTGTTTCTCGTAAATATATCAAGATAAGGTTTTGCAAAACGATTGCGGAACTGTGTTATGCAATGTGGCTCTACAAATGTGAGTCCAGAAATGTCTTTAAAAACTTGACAGACAGCTCTTATCAACGATATGAGCTATCAGTCTATGACAAAAAAGTTTTTGTTATTTATGACCACAAATCTTTGATTTCAAGGAAAGGAAAGGGAACTGACAGCCGTAGATGTGGACTGTGTGCGATGGGCATTAGCTACAAGATATAGGAATGAAATTTTTTGAAATGCACAACTAGTTATTAAAAAACAGCAGAAAGTCTAAATAATAATCCGTAAGAAAACAAAGGAAAAGAGTTCAGACAACTAAATCTAAACAGTTTCAGAACATACTGCTTTAAGTTGTTGCCGTCCGTTAATAAAAATGGTCATTAGGCCAATGTTTGAGCTCATTGTAATATTTTCTACGATGCAACTGGGTCCTAGGGACATGTGTGATTTGTGCTGTGATCAAACATGGAAAAAAATTCAAAAAAACAATGTCAAATAGAAAACGTTGAATTACTAACGCGATTTTGATTTTTGATAAATGCCAAATTCCATTTGAATTAGTGCATTTTCTTGTTTCTCAGTCATGGTAATAATTCTTTGAGCTATCCCCACTAAAGTCTATTTGAGCGCTTGTTGTTAGGCCACTCAAGAAATTCTATGAAGCGTGGATTTTTTACGTTCAAGTTACAATCATAGGAACGTAAAAATGCAGATAAACAATTTAGTCCATTTTTTCCAGAGCTTATGTCATCGGACATTCTCATCCGACTTTCGACGCTGGAAAATCAACTTGTACATACGAACGAAAAGGTACGAATTTTTACAAGCTGCTTTAATTCCTGAACCTGTATTGAAAGTTCTCCTTATTTTTCTAGATTATTTGTCAAATTAAGTGAAGCATTACTAAGTTGTTTTTAGCAAAATAATGACCTATAGACCCTTAAAGGAAAGCCAAGTGCAATTTTGAATTGTGAACTATAATTGCATTTTTTTATAACTGTTCAGTCTATAGGACAAAAGAGTTAGGGTAGTGCCAAATTATAAATGTTTATTACTAATTCTATCTAGTTTGTTATTTTAAGAAAATAAAATTATTTGAACTCTGATCATTCCATTTACTAATCGAAATGTTTTTGCAGGTAAAAATGCGGGAACACGTGATCGAGCAATTAGAGGAGGAAATTCAGGCAAAAGAACGGCTAATCTATGAACAGGGCCACTTGATACATATTTTGGAAAACGAAAACAAACTTGACGAGGTGACGTGATGTTATTTTTTATGCTCCTATTTTCTGCTATTTGGGCGAGAAGCAAACATGTAGGGCAGAAAACTTCTGGGTACGAGAATTTGGAAGTAAGAGAGTTTGTTGCTCATATGACATGAGGAAAGAATGTCATGAGAAAGAGAAGAGCATAAGAAAAGACATATCGTCATTATTTTAGTGCAAAGGAACTGGTGGGGGAGGAGGGGGCAGAGGAATAATGTAAATATATTTGTGACCCTTCGAGACTTTTATGACATAGTTTGCTAGTTGTCATTATTTCCTGAAGCGCCCTTGAAATCTTGTAGTGAATGTTTGCGCGGATCTCTCATTTTACGCTGTATAGTATTTTCTTTTACAACCCTAGAACACACTGAACGTTCACTAGTGTGAAGTTGTAAAATATTTGAGTAACTGAACACTACTCTAGAGCCATAGAATTTCTGAAAAAACAAAACTGCATTAAACTCTAGCAACTGCTTTCATGTTCAGTTCGTACTTACAATCGCAGCCTACCTCGCAGAAGCAGTTTTTCTTGCTTTTCGTTGTTTTTGGGAACAATCATATCTGAGTGAGAAAAATTATGAGTTTGGGCGGTTTTTAGATGAGAGGCCGTGTTGCATTGTTTCTGCAAATTGTGAGATCGAAAACAGTGTTGAAACCCACTTGACTGTAGAGAGCATCGCATCAATTCCTTTTCATGTGAATTTCTATCTTTACCAAAAAGACTCTTGCGGAGGTTTGCATAATAAATCTAGTTCTTTCAAAATTTGAAACATCGCTTTGGACCTCTTAAATTTATTGCATACCATTGTGCATTTACTTACAGGTTCCACTATAATTTGATTAGTACTTTATTAGGCTTTTTACACTAATTTTAGTTCTAATTGCTTTCTAATCATAAGAAATACTAATAACAAATGCTTACTTGTGGAAAAAGAAATGCTGTTTTTTCTCGTCTATAATCTAGTCATATTTTCAATTCATAACCCTTTACAAGTATTTTTCTTCATTAGCGTGTAGCCCCATGATACTGTTGATTTTGAGAGCACTTTCTAAATATTTCCTTGTGGCTTATAACGAAAAATAATCTATTGAGCGCATCATTCAGCCTTACTGTGTCGATAAAGTGAGCCATTTGTTCATAGAACGAACGCATAAGCAATCAAAAGCAGGCTTTATGCTGATAAAAGTGAAGCTTGAATACAGCAAATAATTTGCTGACTTTCCTAGCTCGCTGGGTAATCTGTTTGAAACTGAGACCAAACTTTTCTTATGTTCCTGAATCCCATTTACTGAGGTTCATTTTTGTGCATTCAGCGGAGACTTAGTTCAGTCTTACATTTTATGCAAAAAAAAATAACAGACTTTTTATTATGCTGGTATATCGTCTTCTTATCTTTTTCTTTTTGAATTCTGGTTCATCTCTTCTCTGTCAGCACGTCATCCAGTGAGCTTACACTAAGATTTTACTCCGTTCTTTTCTTGCTAACTTTACACCCGTCCATGCCAGTTATCCCTTCTCTACTAGTCATTCTCGATCGTATTCAAACGGCCACATTGCTTTTCAAGAGCCTTCCCTCACATTCAATAATTTTGTATTCTGTCATTCTTGCCCGCTGGCAGATCTATCAACTGCTGAATTAAGGGTAAAAGCTCACCATTATCATGAGCAAACGGCTAAAGCGTCTTGGAGGTTCTTTTAGGAGTAAATTGAAGGTAAAATTGTATAATTTTTGTCCCCGTAAACGTTGCAAATCTCCCAAATTGTGACGGAACTCACTCGCTATTTTTTTTTCTAGCGAATGACCCACCCGCGAATGATAAATAGCAATCGATGTGGGAGTACGTACATAAATCAGCACTGGAAAAAGCTCATAAAAGTCTCAAGAAAGTTCCGATAGGCTTGAAAGATACAGCTGTGCATTTTCAAGTTTATCTTGTTTCTTTTCTAGAGGAGCTAGATTTCATGTAGTATTTGTTTCCTTCAGAACCATTCTGAGTTTACTCAGCAATAATTAGTATCAGTCACAACAATAACATAAGGTCAAATTGTAGAAAATTAGTTGACATGCTGTTTCTTTTTATAATTTTTCAAATTTTCTTAAAGCCCAGAGAATTCATTGATGTTATAAACTTAAATTATTAGTGAAAATTATGCTTCGCCACTGGCTCTTATACAGGCAAGTAAAAGCAGCTCATAAGCGAGATAATCTGATTTTTTCAAACTTTCGATTCTAAAAAATGCTAGAAGAAAGAGTACTTTTTTAATTTATAACGAGTTTCTATGAACTTTTCTATGAACTAACTGCGCTACTTATATTGTATCTTCTGCCCAATTTTCAGCACTTTTTTCGTATCATCATTTTATTTTGCAAGCTCTACGTTCATTCTGCTCAAAGCGATACCTCAATCAATGCAAAGACAAAGCTAAAAGCAGAACCACAGCTTTGGAATGTGTAGTGTAACACAAGCTATACTTTCTCATGACCGACGGATGAACATAAATCTTTGCTGGGTGAATAAGCGTGGGACTGTCTAGGCTCACATTACAGCAGTAACCGCATGCAGACCGCAATTTTACGAAGCTTGGATTCAATTTCTGTTCTAAATTCTTCTCTTTGTGTTCCTAAAAATCTCCCAAGGAAATGAACAGGAAAATTTTTCAGAGATATTGATTTTTACTTCGTACCACAGTTTGTTTCTTATGAACGCTCGAAGCCTCTTTACTGTTAAACTCTATCTTGTTGAGACCATAAAATCATCTGAAAGTCCCATAAACAATTCTTTATAAGTTTTTGTGAAAAATTTTAGAGATTTTGTAGATCAAATGCTCTCTTATCTTCAAACCTGGACATTTTGCGAAGTGTCAGTAAATGCTGGGTTATGCCAAACCAGGTTTTTGGTGGATCTTTATCGGACCTGACGGTTATAAATAATAATAATAATAATAAATTTACGGTTGAAGATCCATCAGAGGTTTTGATTTACTATTAAAACTTATTCAAATGCGCTTACAAGGTGTAATTTTACTAGAAGACATAGTTCGTTACGTACTTGAAATGCTTCTATACCTAAGGATGTGTGCAAAAATTTTTCTCCCCCTCCCCTCCCCCTCCCCCCTAACTCCTCACAGCAGGCCCGTTCAAATCCATTCGGCTTGCAATTGTGTGGGAATAAAAGGTTGAATTACAATGCGGGAACTGGGGAACAGTTGGTGTGTTCCTGCATTGCCTATCATAAACGCCTTACTTTCAGCAAGCCATGCAAAAGGATTTCATGGGAAGCCAACGACAACGGTTAGACAGTGAAACGGCGGTGAGTGCACTTTTTTGGCGTTTTTATGAATTTTACAATCATATGTCAGCTTTTGCAACTTTGAAACTGCTCAGATGTCAGTGCTGGTCAGAGCAATCAATAGCTATAGAGCAAATTCCTTTATTTTTCTATGATTCGTTGGGATTTTAGGAGCAAAATGTTTACATACAATAAAAATCAAATAGTGAACAAGTGTGAATTGAGAAATTGTGCAAGCAAAGGACATTTTTGATTTGTTGCAAAATGCTTACATACAATAAAAATCAAACATTGAACACTGCTTATAGAGCAGTTTGAAAACTCAAATACAAGGTAACCAGTGACCTTTTTTGCAAATTCGTTTTTTTTACACTTTTCATCAAGTTTTGCAAACATTTAATGATTTGGTAAAAATTAAAAATGCAAAATAAGCATGTAATCGCAACAAATTTGATGGAACAAAGCAACCAGTACTTTACTAGAGTAATGCTCCTTTCCGTATGATTTATCTGGTTTTGAAAGCAATCAATAAATTGATAAATAATGAAAATCAATTAGCTATGAACTAGGCTTAATAAAAAATCAATTACACCTTGACAATTCAGAAATGCCCTTCATTTGCTCAAGAAATTTTTTTCTTTCTTACTGTATTTTTTTCGAAAGAAAAGTGGTGTAAACGGCACAGGACTGGAATTATCTCAAAAACAGTCGGAATTCTTCAGTTTTATATTCACCATTCATTGTGAAAAGGAGCGAATAAACTCAATAAAAATTATTTGCAGGATTCAATACCCAGTGATAGCGAAATCACTATCATTGATCGATTCGCTTCCTCCAGCTCCCCTTGCCATTCCAACTCCAACTATAGCGATCATTGTGATCGTTTGAGGGAACGATTGGAACAGGTGCTGTACTTTAGCAATCCCTTTCACTGTTATGTGAGGTGCATTTCCATTTTTAGGCTCTGATCGAACGTGAAAAGTTGGAGCTGCAAAACGAACAGCTGCTAAAGCAATGGGAAGAAGCGCTTGAGTACGTTACAACGGTGGGTCTATCACTACTTTTTCTGTACCTGGATGCTGGCGGGAAATAAAACTTCATGCATGGAAATTTTCTGTAAAACTTGAAATTATCTTAGCAAATTCTTCTTGCGTATGGAATCTAAGCTATTATTTTCGCGCTTAAGGTTCGATTTTGTCGAATACATCAGCTCAAGTCAAACAGCTGCTTTCTTAAAATTCAATGAAGTCACAGCAACGATTGAGATTGAAGAGGTTACCTTCTGAATTTATCTACTCAATTCCCAAAGACTCACCAATGGCGAATCGAGGAGGACCCCCTCCCCCTTCTCCCCTCCCCCATGCAAATAAATAGTTTTTAAAACGGTAAACGGTCAAAATAATCTTTGAATCTTTTTTGAAATTTTAGGTTTGTGTGGCTACAATTAACTTCCCTTTTCTTGCTTCTATGTTACACAGCTACAGTCACTCCCGTTTTCTTGTTTCGGTTACATATCTTAAACCCGCCCAAAAATATTATCGGACTGCTATTGTACTCACGTACATATATCACGCCAGCTTTTCAAAGGAAGTTTACTGCATTTGAACAAAATTTATTTGCCTTTTTTAGGTCCAAAAGCAGTTGCAAGAAGAAATCCGCCGAAACACTGAATTGAAAACGGCCCAAATGGAAGCGCAAAAGAGCAATCATGACACGATCACAATCTCTCGAGGAACCTTGAACTTCGTTGTGTTGTTAGCCGTCCTGATTGGTTTCTATCTTTACCGAATCTAGAGATCTCTCTCTCTCTCTCTTTAAGTCGACACTGCCCCCTCGAGATGACAAGACGAAGTGACAGCGTCGCTTTCCCTCAACCAGGGACTTGGGTAATCCTAACGGGAATACTCACGGTTTGTTGCTACCCGAAGCAGGAGCAACCGAAAGCCCTGGGCTCAGTAACCCGATCGCTAAGTTAGCCCCAGCTAACCGACGCCTGAGATTCCAGCTTCCTTACTGACCGCGATCAGTAAGGGACAAGGTGCAGTCACTGACCTCTACGTTGTTGTGTTGTTATTCGCAGTTCCAAGACAGAATTTGTAATTATTGTCGGGTTCATTATTAGTAATAAGTAGTTAGTGCAGTTTAACGGGGTACTGGACTTTCAAGTGAGGCCTTAGGAGAATTATGATATAATGCCTTTATTTCTGATCACTTCCACTTGTACAAAGTTTCTTTCTGATTCAAATGAATATTAACTATTTCAGTGTTTACCATGAAAATCAGTGACATCCATCGGAGTGATAAATGGTGTAATACAAGGTGGCCGAAAAGTAGGGGCGTCATTTCTTTTGTTTGTCAATTTTTTCTAGAAAAAAGAAGTGCTGTAAAATAGTTTTTGAATGCCACGAACATAAGCATTTCATTGTGTTACTCCTACAAGGCTGGGTTTCTGTGCATAAATACAGACTTCGACAAGTTATTTTGAATTTGATGTGTCAAAAAATGTTATGTGAAAAATGTACCCATTGCAAATTCGTAGGAAAAAATCCAATTACCAATTGAATGGACTCTAAAATCTAAAGTTTTGTAAGGTACAGTACGAGAAATAACGTAATGCCGTAACAGCAAAAAATTTTCTCTCCCAAACAAAACACGGTGCTATGAACATGGTGTTGGCTGAACTCGCCGCACCAGAGGCAGGCTTTAACAAGTGTCCCGGCAGATTCGCGCCTTGGGGGATGTTGCTATGGTGAGATTCTTGGTCATCCCACTGGCCCCTCCAACCGCACTCCGACTGGTTGATCTTCCCCCTAGGCCGAGAAAATAGCCCTTGAACCGGCGCGCGCTCGGACGACTTCGCTTACCGTTCGGCGCGGGACCCCACGACCGCCCTCCCGCATCCTGCATGCTGCCAAAGCAAAAATTACAGGCAGCAGGGTCTTCGTGAGGCCTCTCAACCTCCCACCGAAATTCTCGTCCGAGCTGCATTTTAGAAACTGGGTAAACGCCCCGAAAATCTTTTCACCCGTTTCAAAGTTCAGATTCGGGGTCTACGGGTCGAAAAGGCCCAAAACATGCAAAAAGATGGAAATGCAAAATCTGCCGGGACACTGCTTCTAAAGGCAGTCGGGAAAATCACGACCCGGGGCTTCTCACAACTACAACCTTCTGGACCAAGAGTCAGGTACTATGCTTGAAATGTCAAAAGTTTTTTTTTGGGAGTTTACCGGCCTTGCAGATTGCTGGAGAGGCGGGGCGAGGGATTCCCGCCATGACCAGCAAGCGACTGTAGGATACTGTAACTTCACCTATTTTGGCAGCAATTGCTCAGACAATCGCCGGGGGCAGGCGGGCACCGGAAAAATAGATTGCTGATTTCTCGCACCCCGCTCGCGGATTTTTTGGAAAGCAATCAGGACTTTTCGGAAGACCGCTTGCTGAGTTCTCGATTCCTCAGGGATTCAGCAATATATCTGCAAAAGATAAGAGCGAAAAAAAATTCAACAGGCGGTCTCTCAAAAATCCGCTGACTCAGCAAGCGGTCTTCCGAAAAGTCCTGATTGCTTTGCAAAAAATCCGCGAGCGGGGTGCGAGAAATCAGCAATCTATTTTTCCGGTGCCCCCTGCTCCAGCGATTGTCTGAGTGGCTGATAAGCTCAGGCCATCAATACGATACATTTGACGGGAATCCCCCGCGCTGCCTCTCCAGCAATCTCTAAGTTCGGAAAGCGCCAAAAAAACAGTTTTGACCCTTCCAGCACAGTAGACTCAGCTGGTCCAGAAGGCCAACTGATTTTCGCGAGCCACTACTTCAAAGAGGAAGTAGACTCTAGAGTCTCGTTTGCAACAAAAGACCTTATTTCGCGTGATTTTTACTTACTGTAGTGTAGAGACTGTCCATAAGCTACAGGAATATTAGTCGGCATGATAGAATATCTCAGGGGAATGATATATTACATGTTGTAACGCCCACATTTACCGGCCGCCCCGTAGTCATTTCTTGAATATGTGCGAATGCACACTTATCACGCTGCGCATCCTAGAATATCGCTGTCCCTTTCTGCTTCTTTCGATCATAGCCTAGAGCCTTGAGTAATTATAGGGCTGTGCCTAATCGTAAATGCGGGATTGCGGCCGTTGCCTTTCTCATTTTCCTCTTTTGAACGCTTTTTTGCTGTCAGATATCAGCTTACCACTCGCACCAGTTTTAAGAAATGCGGGACGTTCTTGTTTGTTCAAGTGGCTTAGGGTTTTCAGACGTCCCATGTAAGCAACGTTCGCAGCATATAGTCTTACAATCTGGTAAAGCCCCATACTATATATGCGCTCTTCTCAGATGTAGTGAAATAGCCCTTTCGATTACGAATTTGAGTCGATCATCAAGAACAATACCCAATTCCTGAGTGGTTGTCTAAAGATCAAGTTTGACACCATCACATATTTAGTTTTACAGACAGGATCTACCAGAATGTAAGATCTTCGACTTTTGATGTAGTAGGTCTTTTCATGCGTTAATAAACTTTTTATTCTTGGTATTCCTCTTGAAGGTTGGTTTGCGAGAGAGTATGCATACTGCCTTAAAGGCAGCGTAAACCCAAAATTTCGTCTTCCATGTTTCTGTTGTTATCGGGCCTTTCCATGGCGCTGATTCGAGATTTGAGGTTCAAATCACCAAAGAACTTCAAGATTGCTCTTTTCTGAAGCCCCAATAGATTGACTGTTTACAATGGAAATCGAATTTGCAGACAGCCAAAAGTTTGGAACCCTCGAAAGGTTGAACAATTTGCATCAAAATTGGGGGTGCATTCAAAAATAATTAGTACAACAGAATCTGCCGAGATTTCGCACAATGGGGTAATTCAATGTGCTGAACGTCAGCTTCATTTGTCGCGAAAATAAAAACCATTCAGAAGGAGCATTTCATGCGGTATACTTACTTAAATACTTAAATGGCCCGTCCTCGCGTGACATGCGAGCCCCTGCACAGAAGTTTCCATAGATCCCTGTCCCTCGCTTCGGACATCCACGATCTTCTTGGTCGTCTTCGGTAGCTGCGTCCACGCGTTCCAGAGGCGATAATCGTACAGCTGATTTCTCAGCTGGTCCATCCATTTCGCGAACAGTCTGCCCATCGTCTCGATGGTCTTCCTCGGGGACGTTTGGCTTCGCGAGGAATCTACTCAGATGTTCTTAGTGTCCATCTATCGTCTGTTCTTCTCATTATGTGACCGGCCCATCGGTGTTTCGCTTTCGCAACCTATTCCGCTGGGTCACGAAGACAGGACATTCTTCTCATATTCGCACTGCGAAGACAAAATGTTGCTTGTGCGGTTCATCTTCAGAAGACTGCGCTCGAGCGCTCTGTGGGTGGTCCGTAAAGCCTTCTATGTGGCTACAGTGTCGGCCCAAGTCTAAGCTGCATAGCAGAGCGCGGGGAGAACGGTTGAGTCGAACAGGTGGGCATGAAGCTCCGGGTCTGTCAGTTGGTCGGTGGCTTCCTTCAGAGGCCCGAAGGCGGCCCAGGCTGCTCTTCTTCTCCTGTTAAGTTCTTCCCTCAAGTCGTTCTCCATGTTCATCGAACGTCCGAGATACACGTAAGAAGACGTCTTATGATACGGGTGCCTTCCAATTCCATTTCTGCATCTTTACAAAGGGCGTTCTTTATGAACTATTATAGTTGTGAGTCTTCTTCCGATTCATTCGCGATCCGATCTTCTTCCCTACTTCGTTGAGCTCCTTCAGCATCGTCTCTGCTTCAGTGACACTGTTCGAAAAGAGAACGATGTCGTCCGCAAAACGAAGGTTCTACAGGAATCTCCCGTCAACTCGTGTGTGCCTCTCTCGTCCCTGTCCCGTGAATTCATCACCCACTGCATGGCCGCCGTGAACAGCTTCGGTGGGATTGCGTCGTTTTGTCGGACCTTCTTCCCAATTGGGAACGTCAGGGGCGATGGGTAGCTGCAGCGTCGTTGTACATTTCTTGTAGTAGTCGGCTAGTGTCCTCACGTAAGCTGGATCTACTCCTTGATCGACTAGCGCAGACAGGATGGCGTTGGTTTCAACGCTGCCGAAGGCTTTCTCGTAGTCGACGAAGGTTAGGAGAGGCGGTCGGTATTTCCGGCAGACTTCTATGACCCTCGAAACTGTCTGGATGTGGTCCATGCAGCTGAATCCTTTGCGAAATCCAGCTTGTTCTTGGGGTTGGGCTTCAGTGTCCTAGATATGCGAGCGAGGATAATCTTCGTGAAAATTTGTAGAGCACACTCAGCAGGCATATTGGACGGTAGTTTCGGAGATCCTCCCGTCCACCCTTCATGAGAGAAGGACGGTCCTTGACGTTGTCCACTGGTCGGGAATCCTCTCCTTCTGAAGGTAAGATGTCAGGTACGACTCGAGAATCTCGTATAGACGTTTTCCTCCTGCTCGCAGAAATTCAACGGAAAGGGTCTGGTCCTGGAGTCGTGGATGTCTTCATGGTCTGAATCGCCGTGCGCACTTCAGCAGGTAGAATTCTTGGTGGTACTTCTCTAGTGGGAACAACGGGCATCGGCAGGGTGTTGATGAGCGGAAGAGGTTGGTGTAGAAGTTCTTCACGACAGATTCCATCTTGTATCGGGAAGAAGTCGGAGTCCCGTCTTCGTTCAATAATGCAGCCAGCGGTACGTGATATTCACGGAGGTCCCTTCGGCACTTTTTGAGACTTACTTCGTCTCCCTTCGGCTGCTTCCAGTATCTTGGCTTGCCTGTACTTCCTGACATCCTCCTGCAAAGCTGTTCTGCAACTGGCGTTGGCTATCAGTCGCTCGAGATGGGCTGCATTCGGATCCTGCCTCAGAAGTCCTTTTCTTCCGAGAAATTCCTTGGTGGTCTTCGAAATGTGTTCCAAGTTCGTCTCAAAAGCCCCTGAGACGCAACCTCCGCAGGCTCGCAATTCTTTCAGAAGCCGGTCGTGTCGTACGTTGGGTCCTCCTCGATAGGCCACTCACAACTTGATATGAGCTCTTCCAGTCTGTTACCGTCATAAACGACTTCATTCCTTCTTGCGACACTATGACATATTTTTTTCCAGCCTTCGGCTGACTCGTATTTTTGCTCGAAGGAGGCGGTGATCGGAGCCACCGCAGAAGGCTGCAACTA